AAATGGGTATAACAACACCTCCTTCGCAGGTTGGCACGAGGTTCAGTAAGATAATGCAGGCCAAGTGCTGGCTTGATGCGAGGCCTGGCCAAGAACAAACGTTGTAGTCCACCACCACAGAAATGACTTAGTAGTGTGAAGGCCTCGGTGTGGCCCAGCTGAGAAGTGGCTGGGCCACAGCAGCAGCCCCTAGACCGCCTCTGCCCAGGGAGAGGGCTGCCACAAACCGGAGTATTTGTTCGCTCCTGCAGTCAGGCTGAGCACAGCACAGCAGACACTGCCAACCCAAAGATGCAAGCTCTGGCAAACAGCACCGTCGGCAGCATCATATGCAAAAGCACCCAGCAAGTTCAGGACTTGCTCTCACACAAATGGAGGTGTCCATGTCCTGGGGAGCTCTGACCCAACCGAGATCCCCTGGGATGGGCACCAACTCTCCCCCCAACCACTTACCACATAAGGCATCGCCAAATGCTCAATGAGTATCTCATTTAAGTTAACACAGCCCCAAACAACAGATGGAAAACTTTCTGGTTTCGGGATCCTTCTTCACTCCCAACATTACTGAGAACCCCAAAGAGTTTGCATTCATGCGGATTGCAGCTATCCGTATTTACCTTATTAGACACTGACAGCAAGAGATTTTTAAAACACAAGAATACACAAGCACACATTCCATTAGTCAACAGAATGATAACATGAGCACAGGTCATGTAGCCTCTGAAAACCATTGTATACTCATGAGACAGAGACAGTTAAAAAGGAAAATAATGTCTTACAATTATTACGAAAATCACTCTGACCTCATGAACAGCCTGAAAGGGTATTGGAGACCCCCAGGGATCCTTGGAACACACTTGAAGAGCTACCAACCTAGATGTTAGGACTCTGGAGCCATTCTGCCCGGATTTGAATCCTCGCTTTGCCACTCACTAGCTGTGTTAGCCCTCTTTGTGCGTCAGTTTCTCCATGTGTAAAACAGAGCAGTACCTGGAATGTAATAAGCACTACATAATACCTGAGGACCCTCACAACCATCTTTCACATTGGGCACCAATATTACCCTGACCTCACAGAGGAGGTTTAGAGAGATGAACTAACCTGCCCACGGTCATGCAGCTCAGGAGTGGCAGTGCCTTAACCGGTCCAGGGAGGGTCCCAGCATGGGCACCAGAATCATCAGGAGTCCCTGTTTAAAGCCAGAGTCCTTATTCCTCCTCCAGACCTAGAACTTCAGCACCTCCAAGGTTCTTAATTTTTAGTCAAGTTTTAATTTTAACTAAGCGACCTGGGTCAAATTAATCCAGCATCTATTTATTGTGTTATTTTTCCCCTCCTCCAACACTGAAGGAACTCAGGGAGTTGCAGTCCCTATGACAGAGGAGAATCAGTGACTCCAGGAGAGGAAGGGGCTCGTCACTGGCCCACAGCAGAGGCAGGAAGAGAACAAAGGCTGTGCCCAAGGGCCCCAGATGCACTTCCCTTCAGTCCCTATGGCTGGCTCTGAGTGGGCAAGGGGGATGACACCAAGGTGCACGAGACAGAGGTCTTTCATGCCAGGATTTAAGCTCTAGGTTTGCAGTCGCCCAAGGGCCCCAGATGCACTTCCCTTCAGTCCCTATGGCTGGCTCTGAGTGGGCAAGGGGAACGACACCAAGGTGCACGAGACAGAGGTCTTTCATGCCAGGATTTAAGCTCTAGGTTTGCAGTCCCATGACAACGAGTACTGCCAAGTGAGGCAGCGTCAGAGTTGGCCACGAGGCAGAACGTCATTCACAAGAACAGAGCCAAGCTCAGGCCAACTCCGCAGGGAAGAGTCGTATGAAGATGATGCCTGCTACAATGCCAGGCTCTTAATGGGCCATGAGATTGCACCCTGCATGGCGGCTGAGCCCAGAAAGGCCGAGGT